ATATTTATGTATTATTGTAACCAACAAGACAAATTAAGTCATATATATGGATTTAATTATGATATCAGAATGATCCAGGTATCAAAATGTAGCTTTTAAAACCAAGAATCTGAAAATGTAATTAGGTCATTTTGACCAAATTTTACTTAATCCTCATTTCAATATGATGGGTCACATTTTTGCTCATAACTTCCTTAATGTTCAAGTTCTTTCCATGAAATTGTAAGAAAAGATCACATTCTGTTTTTCATAGGAAGCACCTTGTATCCTAATAATAATAAAAACGTATAAAATCCAATGAAAAGTAGCATAAAGGGTATAAGATAATATTAAAAGGCTCATATCATCAAACTACAACATCGTTAACTGGATGTATCTTGGAATGTAAGGAAATGAAAACCATTTTAAAACTATGTGGACATTTGTTTTGTAAACAAAACTCCTCAACCAATGACCGCCTGCAAAATGTGTCAAGTGATGAAGATGAGTATCAATACGCTTTGCTAATGCTTACCATTGCTATTCTGTAGCAACAAAACATACTTATAACTTAATACTGTTTTAGACCATAATCAAATTTGGACAAATGCAGTTAAAATAATGTTCTTCACGTAAACTTATCTATTTAAGGTGTCACTAGAAAAACTCGGATGACTAAATTTGATCCTATTTTCAATGATGTGGTCTTCAAAATGCACTGACAGAAAACTCAAAACGAGTCTGAACCATCAGCACACTGTTGAAATTCCTAAAAATAACGAAACAGGAGCAAATAACAAGCGAACACTCAGAGCAGTGTTAAACAGTTTGTCACAGCAGTTTAGGGAGAAAATGGCAGCAGATGCTGTCAACATCTCTACATTTTCTTTACCTGTTCTCCTGTCCGGGTCATGGGGAGCTGGTGTCTATTGATAGAAACCAGCTCAGTTTACAGTGTGAGATTTCAGGCGATACCCTGGAGATGTCTCCAGTCCATCACAGGGACACATAGTGACAAACAAAAACAACCAACTATTCACAGTCTCACTCATACTTAGGGACAATGTAGAGTTGCCAGTGTACCTAACATACATGTTTTAGGTCTGTGGTTTTGTTCTTGGGGAGAATATGCAAACTCCACCCAGAGAAGCCCAGGTCAGGAGGTGATCCTGTGACGTTCTCACTCAGAGGCCACTGCTCTATTTACTTCACTGCTGCACTGCACCCTAGGTTTTATTTCAAAAAGAGGAACAGTTTTATTTCAAACAGTTTTATTTCAACAGTTTTATTTCAACAGTTCCCTTTCAGTCAATTCACTTGGTACAACACATAACTATGGGAAACCACGCCCCTGCGTGTCCTGGCTGAAGCCACCTCTAATCACGCCTTTAGGCAGATGACATGATGACGACAGATGTCAGGCTCCGCCTGCACTATATACTGTCCGCCATCACAGTCTCTCCTCAGTTCTTACGCTCTTCACCTTGCTAAGAACACCTCTTTGAGTCAGGCTAATTAGCTTCTGCTAATTAGCTMTGCTTGTTCGAAGGTTCTTAAAATTAGCTTAACAGCTTTTGTTGGCGTTAGCCACTGCTGCCTTCTGGTAACTGTGTCTGCCCGCGGAGCGCTAGTTTTGAGTTGCCTTTTAATTAAATTTAGCAAATTTTGTGGTTCGGGATGAGCACAAAATTACCTCAAAAGAAGCAGAAGTCTACTGTTCGCTCCTGTCCTCGGGTGCAGCTTCTCGCTCCATGAGAAGGACCAGCACGAGGCTTGCCCGGTCTGTCTGGGGATCGTTCACGCTCGGAGAGCGTTGGCGGAGCTCAAAGCACATGCGTTTTGCCACCAGCTTCGTCACTCAACCCTGGAGGGACAGGTTAAGTTCTTGGAAAAAGTGCTGGGCGAAGCTGCAGTCGCACGGCAGGACCCACTCCTCTCCGAGTCCAGTAACCCYGTTCAGTCCYAGTCCGACAAGGAGGATTTGTCGGTCGAAGTCCCTGCTTCCAGCTGGGCGGACCGCGTGGAGTACATGGAGGGGTTAGCCGAAGATGAAGAGGAGGGTTCCCAGTTTCAGCTGGGCCTCCACCAGGAAGATGAGGACGTGTTGGATATTGGCCTGGATGTTCATCTGTCGGAAGACAACGAGGAACCCAGCTCGGGTCAAGATGCCCCCGCTGCTGCGGAGATGGACCAGGACGACACGTCTTTCCTCTCCTTGTGTCGTCGTGCGGCTCGGAAACTACAGGTGGAGTGGCCCGCTCCCCCTCCTGCACAAAAACCGTCACGGTTCGCTGTTTTTTTCTCCCCACTGAGCCGACCGCGGTGAAGAACCGTCTTCCCATGTTCCCAGGCTTCGTCTCGGAGCTGACGTCCTCCTGGAACAAACCTCTGTCCACCCGCATCACAGTACCCGGCTATGGACAGTATTTAGATTTAGAAGGAGCTGAAAAAGCTGGACTAGTAGTAATAATAATAATCATTTTATTTGAAAAGCTCCTTTCTGGACACCCATGAACACTTACAGCTTTATATCATCATAGAAGAATGTGTGAAATTACAGAGACAAGCTGGAATGAGTTACAGAGCATGGATTACAATTAAGGTGGAAATGCTAATCTAAAGAGATGTGTTTTCAAAGCAGACTTGAACACACGAAGAGAGGTGGTGTTTCTTAGGTCAGGTGGTAGAGAGTTCCAGAGGAGAGGTGCAGAACAGGTGAAGGRCCTGCTCCCCATGGTGGAAAGGCGGGCAGTGGGTACTTGGAGTCTTAGGGAAGAAGAGGATCTGAGAGAGCGGGAGGGGATGGAGATGTGTACGAGGTCAGACATGTAAGGAGGGGCAAGATGGTGGATAGCTTTGAACGTGAGAAGAAGYATTTTGAAGACGATGCGTGATTTGACCAGGAGCCAGTGGAGCTGCTGCAGGACTGGGGTGATGTGGTTATGGGAAGAGGTTTGGGTGACCGCACGTGCGTCTGAGTTCTGGACCATCTGAAGCTTATGGAGGGATTTGTTGGGGAGGCCAAAAAGAAGAGAGTTACAGTAATCAATCCGTGAGGTCACAAGACTTTGGACAAGGATGGCTGTGGTGCGGGGTGTGAGAGATGGACGGAGACGGTTGATATTTCTGAGGTGGAAGTAGGCAGACCGAGTAACATTACTGATGTGTGCAGTGAACGAGAGAGTGGTATCGAGGATGACACCAAGACTCTTGACCTGAGGGGTGGGGGTTAGCAGAGAGTTGTTGATAGGGATGAGGAGATTATTAGATTTTGAGATTGAATTTTTAGTGCCGACAAGGATGATTTCTGTTTTGTCACTATTCAGTTGAAGGAAATTGTCTGAAAACCAGTGACTGAGTTCATTGAGACAGTCAGTGAGGATGGAGGGAGGGTGTGTGGAGTTTGGCTTGGTTGACAGGTAGAGCTGTGTGTCATCAGCATAACAATGGAAACGGATACCAAACTTGTGGYAAATGTAACCAAGAGGAAGGAGGTAAGTAATGAAGAGAAMTYGTCCAAGGACAGAGCCTTGGGGCACGCCAGTGGAGATGGGGGATGACTCAGAGCTGAAGGATTTAATCTGGATGAATTGAGTGCAGTCAGAAAGATAAGATTTGAACCAGTTAAACGCAGTACCTGAGATGCCAATGGATGTGAGTRTGTTYAGGAGAATAGAATGAGAGATCGTATCAAAAGCAGCACTTAGGTCAAGGAGGATGAGGATGGACAGGAGACCAGAGTCGGCAGCAAGGAGAAGATCGTTGGTGATTTTTACGAGGGCAGTTTTGGTGCTGTGGTGGGGGCGAAAACCAGATTGAAACTCCTCATAAAGGTTATTGTTGGAAAGGTGAGAGTGGAGTTGACTGGCAACAACTTTTTCCATAATCTTGGAGATGAAGGGCAGGTTAGAGATTAGACGAAGATTACTGAAGTTACTTGGGTCGAGACCGGGTTTCTTGATGATGGGGGTAATGGCTGCAGATTTAAAAGCTGTGGGAACAATATCAGAAGTCAAGGAGGAGTGGATAATAGTGGTGATGATAGGGAGCAGAGACGGGAGGCAGGATTTAACAATAACAGTGGGAAATGGATTGAGCTGGCAGGATGAGGGCTAATGCTACGTTCACACCAAACGCGTTTTGAGCGGCAGGAGTGGCCGGTTTAAATGCAAAGTCTATGGTGGACGCGCCTCTAGGGGTCGTGCGTCGCGTCACGTACGTTTTGGACGGCGCACAAGATGGCGGAAGCATTTTCCGCGCATGCAGTGCTGCGGTAGCCGCCGCCACCCGAGCCGCCGCCAGAGTTCAACTATCTGAACTTTTCGCCGCTCGACGCATCTCCCACTGAAAACCGAAACAGACGGACTGGAGATCTTTACCTGAAATCGACCGTGTGCAGTTGGATTTTCTGGCAGGACATATCCGCACCGATGTGGATCAGCTGCTCAGGACAAAAAAAAAGTCAGTGAGCTGGCAGCTTCTGGAGTGACGAAACTAACTGAACAAATCGCCTCTAAATCATCTGTTGAATTAATTATCTGCTGTGTGCAACGTTCGCTTGTTTTTTAGTAAATAAATCAAAGCCATTTTCTTTTATTTTTATCTTTATTCACCTGCCATGGACATATGCTCCTCACACACCCGGCTGCAGCCGCTGCTGCTGCTTCTCGTTCTGGTCTGAACACCAGTGCGTTTTTTGGTCTGAACATAGTACGTCCAACTTGAGGCGTTTTGCGCTTTTTGGCCACTTAAAACGGATTCGGTGTGAACGTAACCTTAGACTTGCTAATGCTATCTGAGATGTCAGCGGCAGGGGGTAGAGAGAAGACAGAGAGGTGGACAGTGAATATTCCTCCTATGGAGCCGTCCCTAGCAGTGTATTTGGCCCCGTCTCACAACCATGGAGTGAGCGGGCCCACCACGCTTCCTTCAAAGCCATGTAGAGTTTCTGCTGCTCAGCTTGAAAAAATTTACAAGGCTCAGGCCACCACTGCTCGCACTCTGAGCTCCATTAGCATGCTTCAGACATACCAGGCGATGTCTCTGGCAGAGCTCAGAGTTCAGGTACCCCCCAAAAGTCCTCTGTTACCTCTCTTAAATGAGGTCAGACTCACCTCAGATTACATCCTCCGTGCGTRCCGCGGTGCAGCGCTCTCCCTGGGCAGAGGGATGGCTTCAACTGTGGTGGCGCAGAGGCATCTGTGGTTGAGGCTCTCTGATGTCCCCGACAGAGACCGAGCTGCATACCTGGATGAACCAGTGATTGCTGCTGGGTTATTCAGTCAGTCTCTTGACATCATTCAGGCGAAGTTTGAGCACATGGTTGCCCCGCRGCACAGCTGGGCTRGGTGAAGAGCGGTTACCGAACTGAGGAGTGACTGTGATGGCGGACAGTATATAGTGCAGGCTGAGCCTGTCATCTGTCGTCATCACGTCACCGGCCTAAAGGTTAGAGGTGGCTTCAGCCAGGACACGCAGGGGCATGGTTTATGTGTTGTACCTCATTCCTCTCCTTCAGGGAACAGTAGTTATATGCATAACATTACGTTTTATTTCAACATTTCAAAAAGAGGAACAGTGGAACAAATTTACAACAGTGGTTACATTTCACATTTCTGAAATGTTTTGTTTGTTCGTGTAGGACAGGTGAAGTTCTGCATCTGTACACCTGCAGAATGTTAAGGTGTTTGATTAACTCTTTCTACTTTGCAGAAGTAACCTTTTCCAAACATCTCCTCCATGTGGTTGGATGCTCAGGCTTGTGTCGTCTCTGCTAATGGCGCTGCTGTTCACTGCAGACATTGTGTTGGTGAGTGTCCTCCAGCAGGGGGACATGTACCTGGACGTTCTTACTGACAGCTGTGCAGTCCTGGCCTGGCTGCTCCACAGCGGTGCAATCAGAGTGCTCCAGATAACTGGTTTCAGGAGAACCAGAGGACCTGCACTGCTGCTAGTCATGACTCTTCTGTCAGTGCCCAACCTTGTCTTCACCTTGATGGTTTACTGTGACAAGAAGGAATATTTAAGGCTTACRGAACCTCTTTGCCTGGGAAYACTTGTTCTGGCCTCGGCTCGGATGCTCCTATTACTAATTTACCTCCTGGCATTTGTTTTCCCCTGCATCAGTGCTGCTGAATACACCTTGTACGTTAACGCTGTGGATGACTCTCCACTTCCTACAGAGAGCACTCAGCTAAACACAGGTGATATGGTAGCTGAGGATGGAAGCAGCTGCCTCTCTKGACTGTTRTACCTGTGGCTGAATCCTCTACTCAAACGAGGACAGCAAGGAAAGCTGGAGAAAACATCTGATGTGTATCACCTTCCCCAGAAGCTTCGGACTGGTGTTGTTTGGCAGCACTTCAGTCAGTGCTGGGAAATGTGCCGACTGAGGGCGGAACTCAGCAACCAGCAGGATCAGTGGCCCGGTCCAGTCAGCAGAAGCCTCCTGAATAGCTCKAGTTACGAGGAGCAACCGTTAGAGCTGGATGGTAATGTGGGATTACTCAGGGTCTTGCACAAAGCATTTGGGCTGTGGTACTACATRCTTGGCATTTTAAAAATTACAGTCAACATATGTAGTTTTGCAGGTCCCTTGCTCCTCGGCAGTCTAGTGAACTTCATTGAGGAACAAGGAGCCCCTGTCAGCAGGGGTGTATGGTGTGTGCTGGGTCTCTTTGCTTCAACTCTTCTAAGCTCCGTTCTCAGAAACATTTTTGTCTTTGAAGTGTCAAAGGTGGCGCTGTCAGCTCGTGCCTCTCTTGTGTCGGCCATTTATTCCAAATCCCTGCGAGTTAGCAGCTGCAGCCTGGCTGGCTTTACTTTGGGAGAGGTGGTGAACTTGATGAGCACTGACACAGACCGTGTGGTCAACTTCTTCAGCAGTTTCCACGAGCTCTGGAGCCTGCCTTTTCGGTTCTCCATCACCCTCTACCTGCTGTATCTGCAGGTAGGTGTAGCGTTTCTGGGAGGGCTCTGTGTAGCATTGGTGCTGATGCCGTTCAACAAGTTCCTTGCCTCCCGCATCCTTAGTAACAACAAACACATGCTGAAGTGCAAAGATAATCGTGTTAAGGTAAGATCCAGCTTTATATGACTGACTGTGTAAAAGTACAATACTCTGCATTTTCAGAAAWATCTTAATCCTTTTATAAATCATCTAGTTGAGAGTTTAAATTTTTCTTTTTGTTTTTATTTTAAAGTTGATGACAGAAATCCTCTTTGGCATTCGTGTCATTAAATTCTACAACTGGGAGCTCCATTTTACCCAGAAGGTGACTGAACATCGGAAACAAGAACTCTCCCATCTGAAGGCCATTAAGTACCTGGATGCCTTGTGTGTCTACACCTGGGCTGCTCTGCCAGTGGTCATCTCCATCCTCACTTTTGTCACGTATGTGTTGCTTGGACATCAGCTGACTGCAGCCAAGGTACAAACTGAACGCTGTGTGTCTTGTTGCCACAAAGATTTCATGTTAGTTGTGACTGTACAATTTTATCATAGTTTTAGTATCGTTACTAGTAAAACAAAACAATATTTCTAAKATTTAGCCTGTTTCAAGCAGTAGGGATGCTTTATGACAGGGTTTCTTAAACTTTTTGACCTCGGGGCCCAATTTGTTGAACATAAAGTGACACGAGGCCCAGTCAGACATTACCAAGGTATGGATCAAAATGATAATTATTCTAAATTTTGGTTTAATTTGTATTGTATTTGCATTATAACTAAATTAAATACACTTACAGTTAAAACTCCTGTCAAATAATCACAAGACATCATTATGACAAACATTTTTCTATATTGTAAACCTGCCCATAACAATTATTTGATCAAATACAACAGTCAGTCAACAGACCACTCAGGCTTTTCAACACAAATATATATATATATATT